CCCGGGGGGGGGGGGGGGGGGAGGCTACTGGATCCTAAAGACAAAAAAAAAAAATAATAAATAAAATAAAAAACAAAGCAAACGGAAGTGAAAATAAACGCGGATAGGCTATTATGTTCTTTTAAAAAAAAAATATTACTTTATATTTTCCAAGTTAAATAATGTGCTTTTCATTATTTTAATTTGTTTTATAATTACTATTTTTTAAATTTAAATTTCAAAACACCCTGTTCTCTGTCTACTGTAAATAAACATGGAATACTTCTTTTTTAAATAAATTAAATAAAAATTTTAAAAAATCTAAGCCAGCGACAAAATAACAGTAGGCCTATACGATGTCACGTGATTATGTATGTCTCTTTTTTTTTTTTCTTTTTCTATGATGATGGTGTGGGACTTTTCAGAACGAAATCACATGGCCTTGACTTTTTTTTTCTTTAGGAGTTTTCCCTTGACAGCAAATCGCCTCATTCTGTATTTGTGAAAGTCGGAAAAAAAACAACTATAATATATTATTTCTTTGTGCCTAAAGTGTTAATACATCTGTCTCACTTTAAAAAAAAAACAAAACAATAAAACAATATGGTTAGAATATCTAATACTTAAAAAAAAAAATATTTTCAAACAATTAGATTATTTTCATCTAAAAAATGCTTTATGTACTTCTGTGTCTTATTTAAACTTCCAGACTGTTATTTAAAATAATACTTTAATTTAATAACCCACTTTCCGTATTTAAAAGAATAAAAAATAAACCAGAACCAAATCAGAGCTATCCGCAATTTTATTTTCGAATTTATCAATAATTTATTAAATACCCCTTTAAGAAACATCACGACTGCATTTTAAGATAATATTATTATCTTAATAATTAATTTCATTGCTCTTTAGTGGCGATCGGAAATAGATGACCTGAAGAGGTAAGTAAGGGTTGACAACCGATACCGTCGACAACAGCAGTGAACTCCCATAGGGCCTGGTAGCTTACCTTGATTTAAAACTTAAAGGAGTGCAGTCGGCGCTTTGTTTGCACTGAGAAATACATAAAGGGCAGAGTTGTCGGTGATGGGGACAGCTGCCATATAATTTGTAAATTTGATTAAGGCTACCTAATATTGTGTGCTGCTAAGAGGGTCGTGACAATTTATGTACATATAAAAAGGTTTATGTATATATATATATATATATATATACATAAACCTTTATATATATATATATATACCTTTTTTAAAAAGGTTTTCTTTCAAATACATTTTTTATTGTGAGGGGGACAGCTGACATATATTTTGTATATTTGATTAAGGCTACCTAATATTGTGTGCTGCTAAGAGGGTCGTGACAATTTATGTATATATAAAAAGGTTTATGTATATATATATATATATATATATATATACATAAACCTTTATATATATATATATATACCTTTTTTAAAAAGGTTTTCTTTCAAAGACATTTTTTAGTGAAGCGCACTAAAAAGTAGAAAATAATTCTCTCAACATTGCTGGTAGCATAGCTTGAGTCATTGCTGTCCAATGTTCCCTCTAAGGTTGGCTGGTTCGTGTGCAAAATCATACAGTTGTGTGCAAAGTTTTACAGCATCAATTTATTGTGTGCAAAATTTTACAGCCCACAAAAACAAACTTACATGGGAATTTGCTGCGCGGTACTCACAACTGCTGCGCGGCGTCGGTCAGGCAGCTGCGCGGCCGCGCAGCCGCGCAGCTAAAAGGGGACATTGGTGCTGTCCTGTATGGCACAAGAAAGAAAAAAGAAAGTGGTGTTCAGGGAGAACCGCCACCCTCCACCCCTTCTTACGCCACCAGCACTGACCACTTGAACATCTGAATTGCCCCCCCCCCACACCACCCCGGGACTAATTGTCTGAAATAAACCCTGGCAGTAATGCTCTACTGGACATACAGTAGAGCGTCGATTTTCCAAAACTAATTGAAGGCGGGTGGGTGGTGGTGGTGGTGTTTCGAATACACCAATTTTCGGATAACCCAACATTTCCATGGGAAGGTTAACCCATCACTTACATGGAAAGTTTAACCCAAAACTTCCATGGAATGTTTAACCCAACACTTCCATGGAAAAGGTTAACCCATCACTTCCATGGAAAGTATAACCCAAAACTTACATGGAAAGTTTAACCCAACACTTCCATGGAAAAGGTTAACCCAACACTTCCATGGAAAGTTTAAAAGTTTAATCCAACACTTCCATGGAAATGTTAACCGATCACTTTTATGGAAGGGTTACCCATCACTCCAATGGAAAGGTTAACCCATCATTTCCATGGAAAAAGTTAATCATCACTTTTATGGAAAGATTAACCCATAACTTCCATGGGAAAAGTTCACCCATCACTTCCATGGAAAGGTTACGTTAAAAGGAATTTATATTTTTTCCATCAGTGTGATGCATTATTGTACAATGTCCTAAGCTGTAGGAGTCAAGGGTGAGCTGATTAATGTCAAAGCCGGTGAGGACTGAACATTTTTTCTGAGAAAAGTGGTCGTTTCCAAAAATAGACGACTGACGTTTAGAATAAATTTCAATGTAACTTTTTTTTTGTTTTTTTGTTTTTTTCGAATCTTTCAAACGTCAATATTTCTGGATCTATTATATAACCAAAATAGTGATTGATGTTTATTTTTAAAAAAATAATAATAAAAATAATAAATAGAATAATGATGCAGCAAACAACTTGCGCCTTCACGAAAAACCCAGCACAAGTGAAAGGCCGCATGCCAGGAAAACCCTTACAATACACGGATTATCAAGATGTAAAAAAAAAAAAATAATTCATAGATTTAAATATTTGGATTTTAAAATTTTTCTATCAACTCTGAGGAGTTGTGGCAGCTCAGACACTATGGGATACCCTAAGTTACTAGTAGCAGTATATTGGGCTAGTTAGTTAAGTTATACTGTACTTAAAAACGCTATACCCTGGTTTCAGAACTCATACCGGTATTTAGATAATCCATAACTTGCCATAACAAACATCAATGGCTGCTTCTTGTTGTCAACCTGTTGTTGTTCCTGCAAATTATGATCCAGTCTTCAAAGGTCGGATTACGACCATAAATTTATATCCTTATCAAGTTGTTTTTTTAATCTCTCTTTTGATCGTTATACTATGAGCCTATGGGTTAGTAGGCTGCCGTAGTTATTTCTTAAAAACTTGAGTTGAACTTGAAGTGATAAAAAGTTTAAATTCAAAAAGTAATTAAGTAATATTAATATCAATATTTACTTATTACTTAGACTTAGGCTACTATAAACCAAAACAAAAAATGAATAAAGAGTAGAGTTTTATTCACTGATTAGACTTATTTATATATCAAGAAAAATTCAACGTCAACATTTTAATTAAATGATGTAAATGCTAACTACTAAAAATGTTGTCTTATTCATACTTCACTTCATAGCTTATTTATTTAGTATTTGATATTGATATAATATGATATGTCATTATGATTATGTCCATACTTGACACTTTGTCTGACTTTGTCTAACACTAACACTAACGGCCAACGATAAGTAACTATTACTATTACTATTACTATTATTAACTTTAAATTATAAACATACTCTAACTTTTTAAATTTAAATATCTAAATTTAAAATTAAATTTCATTAATTTTTACTTGAGACTTCTGTACAATGACAGTCCTGTACAGTACAGAGGTATAGTTACTAACTAATAGTATTATATTATACTGACTACATTCTTGAACTTGATGCGTGCAGTTGCATCTATTGAATTGGACTATTGACTATTGGCACATTGGTCAATCACAGAATTTGTTTTTTTAATTATTCAATTTTAATATTGTTGTGACATATCTCTATTGTTATGACTTTATAAATATTATTGTGACTCATTTATATAAGTTTGATATATCTAGTTGATGTTCTTCATCATGCCCCTCTTCAAGAGCGCCTCACTTCAGCATCAGACATTCATTTAGATGTGATGGTGCTTAGTTTTCAACTAGACACTTTGTGCAAGCAAAGCCTCTATACTGTAAGTAAGCTTTAAATTTCAATTAGTAACAATGATCATGAGTGTAAAATAATTTAAATGTATAAATGCAATTTCTTTTTTTTTTTAAATTTTTTTACCATTTACTTTATCATTTGATATTTATGATGAGGTTAATTTAAATTCAGTCAGCAACAGAAAAATTTCAACAATAAATCTTAATGAATTCAAAATCCTTGTGTCTTTATTCTAAACAATATTATCAATTATATATCATTTGAGCTTGACATTTACGATGTCCACAAATTTAGATTAAATAGGAAAAACAGAGCTAAGACAACAAAAAAAATGGCCTGTTAGCGTAATTTAATTTTTTCTAATAGAGGAACCATGTGTCATATGATATGAGGGAATGTTTACTTAAAGTACCGTACTGCCATACTGATATGTGTAATTTAATCTCTTTGGATGGCATCCATTAGCATAAACCAGAGGACAAGAAATCAAGTACTCTTCGCAACAGTCAAGGTCAGTGGTAGCCATTCTTTGGAATATTTCTGTTCTGTGCCAGTGTTTCTCAAACTTTTTTTTTTTTTGTTTTTTTTTTGTGGATTTTCACCCTTAGGAGATCGATGAATTCTCTCCCCCTTTCCCTTAACAGCACAGCAAAATAGTATGACAGAAACAACTACCATACAATAACTAAATACCTAAAGACAGGAATGCACCAGTAACATCCTATTCCTAAAATCTTCCTAATGTTGCCAAAAAAAAAAAAAAAAAAAAAAAAAAATGTACCTGGTATTTATTCTCCTCCTAAAACACTCCGCTATGGCACATGGTGTGGGGGTTTGGCTTTTGCTTAATTTGCAAAACATGATTTTAAATAATATTCTTAACTCATTCCATCCTGCTGGGTGGCACATTCCTGAACAAAGGGAGGTTACACAATTGGTAAATTGATTAAGTTTTATAAATATTTTTTTAAGCCACTGAATCTTAATTAATTTTTAATAAATAAAGGACAAATGCATCCAGAAATTAATTAAGATTAAGATAAATATAACATTTAAGGACAGAGAAAAACCAACAAAAAAACAATGAGCAAAAAGTAGATTTTTGACACCTCTGACCAACACATGCTAGATATAGACGATCAGTACTCAGACTCAAAACTAAAATTCTCTACATGTTCTTTATACTCCTAACATTATTAATCATTTTCACCCCATATCAATTAATCAAGTTAGCTCTTAAAATAATGTAAATTAACACTAGCTAGAAATAGTTTCGTAAAATCTACAAGTATGTTACATTAGGGCACATTTCCTTGTGTAGGCTTGCAATAACTCATATACTGAAATAAAACTTATTTCTACAGCCAATATGGTGTTCGGCAATCTCCAACAGGCATTATTTAAACTCTACAAGTCCAGCAAAATGAATAGTTCAGAGGTCAGTTCTGTTGTTCTTTATTTCATGCTTAACATGTTGAATTTGCTGTCTTTCCAGGTGAAAATGTTGTTTTAACCCCTATTTTGTTATTTTATGACACAAGTGTCATTGACGAAACCCTTAAATATCTTATTTACCCTCATTCTGTGTTAGATAATGTTTAATAATAATGTTTTCTCGTATTAAGATTTTCCCCCGTGAGTCTGGTCTGAATCAGCTGTTTCCTCGTGTGGCAGCTTACATGGCGGGACACGATGATACACTGAACAAACACGGAACAACTGATGTAGATGGTACATTTTTTTTTGGGTTTACATTTGTCTATCTTTTGTTGAGATAAGATTAATTAAACTACTAGAAAAGAGCACTTGGAAATTTTCATTTTGTCACTGGGGATTTTATGTATTATTTGTTTTCATCTAGCTTGTGAGGGTTGCAAGTGTAAACAAAGTTATAATTATATTTAAATACATTAAACAAGACAATAAAAATATAATTTAGGAAGTGCTTTGATAAACCAATGCATAGAATAACAATTATGACATAATTTCCAGATTACCTGTCACAGCTGACAGCCATGCATCATGTCCTTTCCATGTCCAGACAAATTCAGAATGATGTGACCCATCAGGTCAAACCCAAGTACCTAGCACATCAGCTGGCTGTATTATATGTAAGTTTAGTATATGTTTGTTGGTCTGCCAAAATTGACAAGGGCTATCTGATCATCCGGTAAGGTGTGGGGTGGGTCACTGTGAGATCATAGGTGGCTAGCTAGTCTGATGCCTGCTTGGGATAGTCTTTGGCACCGCGGGGAGGGGATAGTTGCTGTGGTCGGTGGGCTTAGGTTGATTTTTCAGGCTAGCCTGCATGTCTCAGCTGTCGCTATCTTTCTGGCTTCATGAGATTGAGCCCCCTTCTTGACAGCAGATCTCCACTTGGCTCTGTCTTGGGCTGTCTGAAACCATTCAGAGTTGATGCTGAAAGTATTTAGTGCTGCTTTCATTGTGTCTTTGGATCATTTTCTTTGACCTCCTTGGGAGTACTTGCCTAATGTGAGTTCACCGAAGAATAGCTGTTTAGGGAGCCGGTTGTCTTCCATACGGGCTATGTATTCCGTCCAACGGAGTTGAGACTGCATCAGGGTGGTGAAGATGCTAGGTTGGTTTGCTCTAGCAAGGACCTCCGTGTCAATCACTTTGTTTTGCCACCTGAGGAGTTTCCTAAGGCGGGTTATGTGAAAGTGGTTTAGTTTCTTGGCGTGACGCTGGTAGACTGTCCACGTTTCACATCCATAGAGCAATGTCGAGAGGACTGCTGCTTCGTTTCGCGTCTGATACCTCTTCTGTCTCAAACAGTGCTGTAGAGTCTGCCAAATATTGCACTTGCTATTGCGAGTCTGGCATTCATTTCATCATCCACTGACTGTATATTATGTTATTTTAGTATACTCAGTGTCACTAGCACATCAATTATATGTAAGTTTAGTATACTCTATGTCACTAACACATCAGTTGACTTTATTTATATGTAAGTTTAGTACAGTCTATGTCACTATCATATCAGTTAATTGTATTATATAAAAGTAGCGAATTGTGAAGAAAAAATAAGTCTTTATAAAAAGGGAAAAAACATGAAATGTGAGTACAAGGAAGAAGAAACTTTGGGATAGTCGGGTGGGATCATGGCGTTGTTGGGACACTGAGTGTTATCTGGAGACATGTCATTCACCGCCTAATGTACATTACCTCTGGCAAAGCAATACATCCATGTCATTCTGTTGTGCGTTGGTGAAGAAGAAAAGTGTACACATGAGAGGAAGATGTATTCATTGTATGTATTAATATATGTGCCTTTATGAAGAAGAATGGGGAACACATAAGAGGAAGATGTATTCATTGTATGTAGTCATATATGTGCCTTTGTGACGAAGAATGGGAAACACTTAAGAGGAAGATGTATTCATTGTATGTTGTCATGTAATTGCCTGGGTGAATTCTTTGTATGTAGTCATATATGTGCCTGGGTGAATTCTTTGTATGTAGTCATAAATCTTAGTTCTTTGCTATCCTGGCAGAGGGAGACCTCCAACAAGCAGCTTTGCAGCCCGACCCTGGGGGAGTGGTGTGGGGGGGGGGGGCATGAGGAGCTTGGTACTAGCTCAACGGCCCGCTGACGCCATTTCCTAATGTACATTTTCATTTCAAAATCTAATAAATAGTCTTTGAGATTTTCTCTCCTTCTATGCTCTTGCATCTGAGGAGTTACCTTGTATATACCAAATGTTTTTAATAAATTATATTTATATTATTATAATTATAGTTGTTTTTACAGAATAACCCTACAGTGTTAATATAATCAAACAAATTTTTAGGCAAGTAATTTTTAATAAAAGCTCCATGCATAAATGGTAACACTTGTCACATTTTTATTTAGATTTATTTTAAAATGATTTACAAATAACTTTAAACAGCTTCCACTTTATCATTACCTCAATAGCAAGGCATCAACAGTATACCATCAGGGGACAGCACCCTCTCTAGGCACAAAAGCAATATGGAGGAAAACTTTCCCACACTGAAGAGCTACCTATCAGAAATATGGGATCATGAAGATGGGAATCTGTCCCCGGAAGTCCAAGGATGGTAAGTATTTTTGTAGACTGCGCTCCTGACATTTTAACATACCCGATGTCATTATTTTGCAGCACCTTCCAGTACAAAGGCAATGAAATGATCTCCCTTATCTTACCACCTCCACCCTCCCCCAGACATTTTCCCTTTGATTCTATCAGTCTCCTCTCACACCTCCCAGTGGTACAAAGGCAATGAAATGATCTCCCTTCATCTTACCTCCCCCACCCTCCCCCCAGACATTTTCCCCTTGATTCTATCAGTCTCCTCTCACACCTCTCAGTGGTACAAAGGCAATGAAATGATCTCCCTTCATCTTACCTCCCCCAGACATTTTCCCCTTGATTCTATCAGTCTCCTCTCACACCTCCCAGTGGTACAAAGGCAATGAAATGATCTCCCTTCATCTTACCTCCCCCAGACATTTTCCCCTTGATTCTATCAGTCTCCTCTCACACCTCCCAGTGGTACAAAGGCAATGAAATGATCTCCCTTCATCTTACCTCCCCCAGACATTTTCCCCTTGATTCTATCAGTCTCCTCTCACACCTCCCAGTGGTACAAAGGCAATGAAATGATCTCCCTTCATCTTACCTCCCCCAGACATTTTCCCCTTGATTCTATCAGTCTCCTCTCACACCTCCCAGTGGTACAAAGGCAATGAAATGATCTCCCTTCATCTTGCCTCCCCCACCCTACCCCCAGACATTTTCCCCTTGATTCTATCAGTCTCCTCTCACACCTCTCAGTGGTACAAAGTCAATGAAATGATCTCCCTTCATCTTACCTCCCCCAGACATTTTCCCCTTGATTCTATCAGTCTCCTCTCACACCTCCCAGTGGTACAAAGGCAATGAAATGATCTCCCTTCATCTTACCTCCCCCACCCTCCCCCCAGACATTTTCCCCTTGATTCTATCAGACTCCTCTCACACCTCTCAGTGGTACAAAGGCAATGAAATGATTTCTTTGTATGTAGTCATATATGTGCCTGGGTGAATTCTTTGTATGTAGTCATAAATCTTAGTTCTTTGCTACCCTGGCAGAGGGAGACCTCCAACAAGCAGCTTTGCAGCCCGACCCTGGGGGAGTGGTGTGGGGGGGGGGGCATGAAGAGCTTGGTACTAGCTCAACGGCCCGCTGACGCCATTTCCTAATGTACATTTTCATTTCAAAATCTAATAAATAGTCTTTGAGATTTTCTCTCCTTCTATGCTCTTGCATCTGAGGAGTTACCTTGTATATACCAAATGTTTTTAATAAATTATATTTATATTATTATAATTATAGTTGTTTTTACAGAATAACCCTACAGTGTTAATATAATCAAACAAATTTTTAGGCAAGTAATTTTTAATAAAAGCTCCATGCATAAATGGTAACACTTGTCACATTTTTATTTAGATTTATTTTAAAATGATTTACAAATAACTTTAAACAGCTTCCACTTTATCATTACCTCAATAGCAAGGCATCAACAGTATACCATCAGGGGACAGCACCCTCTCTAGGCACAAAAGCAATATGGAGGAAAACTTTCCCACACTGAAGAGCTACCTATCAGAAATATGGGATCATGAAGATGGGAATCTGTCCCCGGAAGTCCAAGGATGGTAAGTATTTTTGTAGACTGCGCTCCTGACATTTTAACATACCCGATGTCATTATTTTGCAGCACCTTCCAGTACAAAGGCAATGAAATGATCTCCCTTATCTTACCACCTCCACCCTCCCCCAGACATTTTCCCTTTGATTCTATCAGTCTCCTCTCACACCTCCCAGTGGTACAAAGGCAATGAAATGATCTCCCTTCATCTTACCTCCCCCACCCTCCCCCCAGACATTTTCCCCTTGATTCTATCAGTCTCCTCTCACACCTCCCAGTGGTACAAAGGCAATGAAATGATCTCCCTTCATCTTACCTCCCCCCAGACATTTTCCCCTTGATTCTATCAGACTCCTCTCACACCTCTCAGTGGTACAAAGGCAATGAAATGATCTCCCTTCATCTTACCTCCCCCACCCTCCCCCCAGACATTTTCCCCTTGATTCTATCAGACTCCTCTCACACCTCTCAGTGGTACAAAGGCAATGAAATGACAGTGGTACAAAGGCAATGAAATGATCTCCCTTCATCTTACCTCCCCCACCCTCCCCCCAGACATTTTCCCCTTGATTCTATCAGACTCCTCTCACACCTCTCAGTGGTACAAAGGCAATGAAATGATCTCCCTTCATATTACCCTTCCCCAGATATTTTCCCCTTGATTCTATCAGTCTCCTCTTTCCATGTTCTTTGCCATTCCACACCCCTCTTATCCCCTACTGACCCCTGGTCAGTGTCTGCCCTGTGATGATATTTTTTTATGTCGTTATATAATATTACAATTAATGAACTTTGATTTCGGTTTTATTTTAACTGTTATTATTATAGCTGTGTGCACTTTGATACAGCTCACGGCCAAATTAAATACACAGTGACATGTGCTCACATCAATAAATGATTTTAATGTTTATGTGTTTTCAGGATTTTGGATCTGACGGACAACATCATTGAAGAGATTCGCTCAATGCCACGATCTATGACTGAGGAGCTGTTACCAATCTCAAAACTATTTCTTTAGCTATTGAACATGTTTTTTGTTGAAATAATAAAATGATATTAACATATGCAGCTGATGAAATGTACATAAACAAATATAATTATTGAAATTGTCTTTTTTCTGCTTTTTTAATAAAAAGTATTTCAGATGAAAATAAGCTTTGATGGAAATTTGCAAATGGCTTGCTTAATATTATCAATTAAAAGAAGTGTGAATATTTATTTTAAAAAGTTAATTGAGAAAAAGTTCAAGTATATTATGTAGTGATTTTTGTTAACTATTTGTAAACAGTCATTTCATTCTAAAATAATTATGAATAGAAAGGAGAGATCTTCCCTTGTTTTTTTCAATTAAGAGAGTCCAAGCCAAGAAATATTCACAAAAGTGAAAGTCAGAAAGTGAAAACAACCTAAATTACCTAAAGTAAGAGTCCATTTCTTTTTATTATCCACTCACCTATCTTAGTTCATCTTAAACCTCTCTTCCAACCATAACAGATGTTCGACTCCAAAAAATCAAATGTTTTAGATGTATTTATTTAGACGCCAATGATGTTCAAAGGTCAAACCCTGGTTGTTTATAACAGAGTGAGATGTCATTGAGATGTGCTCATCAACCTGGCCCCAATTTTTTTTTATTTTGCACTTTTTAAAGATTTCAGTTCAGACGCAATGATTTTTTGCCTCATGGGCAATTTTTGCTCATATTGCTTCTTGTATTATAGCAGAATATGTGAGTTACTAAGTAACAAGCTTGAGCTCTTAATACAAGTTAATATGGACATTTGTAAATAGATTATTGTTGCGTATTATTTTATCATACATTTTGTTTCCTGTTGTTATTATTATTGCTATTAAGAAATTTACATTGATTGCCATTCCTACTTTTTGATACATACAGTTTTAACACAATTTACATCAATGAAATAAAAAAAAAAGATGATCTGCTCCAGGGCTTGGAGAATAGTGTTGTAAAAATCCTTTGCTCCTTTTTTTAAATATTTTTATTTCATGTTTGCAAGTGATGAGAACGTAAACACTGATTCCATTACTAACATCATCACGTGGGGGGAGAAAAAAAAAGAGTTGTTTTTCTTCTGGTCTTCTTTTTTGTTCTTTGCCTTTTGAACTCCCAGTGAAGCATTGGCCGTTAATAATTGCTTTACAAGTCTTACGGCCCTTGCGCTAATCTCCTCTGCCTCTTTCCAATCTTTATCACATCCTTGTCTACCTCTCTTTGCCAGTGTTCTTTTTTTTTTTTTTTATGGACATTTATTTGCTACTAGTAAGCTTTCTGTATTTTGTATTTCAAACTACTTTCTGTTGACTTTCTGCCTCTTTCCAATCTTTATCACATCCTTGTCTACCTCTCTTTGCCAGTGTTCTTTTTTTTTTTTTATGGACATTTATTTGCTACTAGTAAGCTATCAGTATTTAGTAATTCAAACTACTTTCTGTTGACTGATGAAGGCTCATCATAGTGTTAAGCAGGGTTAAGTCTCAGTAATGTAAAATGAAATCTTCCCCCAATTCATAATGAGGTGTCCTTAAAGAAAAGCACCCATATAAAGCTTGATAAAGCTAAATATTTTACAACAGGGTTTCCCAAACTGGGATGCCGACTTCCCAGGGGGGTGCAAGAGGCATTCCTGGTGTGCCAGGAAAGGAGATTTATAAGAACAAAGTAGAAATTAGCTTTAAAATTATAGTATAATTGTTTATATTTTCCTTTATGCAAAGAAATTACCGGTTAATTTTCAAGTTCTACAGTTCTCTTGACAACTCAAATAAATAAACTACATGCATTGTAACTTTAATGGGTGATGCCCAGCTAAGTAAAACCTTTCGTATGGGGGTGCCAGACTAGTCAAGTAGGCCTAATTGGTAGGGGTGTAAGACTAGTCAAATTATTGGTAGGGGGTGCGAGACTAGTCCAATAATTGGTAGGTGTGTGAGACTAGTCCAATAATTGGTAGGTGTGTGAGACTAGTCCAATAATTGGTAGGTGTGTGAGACTAGTCAAATAATTGGTAGGTGTGTGAGACTAGTCAAATAATTGGTAGGTGTGTGAGACTAGTCAAATAATTGGTAGGTGTGTGAGACTAGTCAAATAATTGGTAGGTGTGTGAGACTAGTCCAATAATTGGTAGGTGTGTGAGACTAGTCCAATAATTGGTAGGTGTGTGAGACTAGTCAAATAATTGGTAGGTGTGTGAGACTAGTCAAATAATTGGTAGGTGTGTGAGACTAGTCAAATAATTGGTAGGTGTGTGAGACTAGTCAAATAATTGGTAGGTGTGTGAGACTAGTCCAATAATTGGTAGGTGTGTGAGACTAGTCCAATAATTGGTAGGTGTGTGAGACTAGTCCAATAATTGGTAGGTGTGTGAGACTAGTCCAATAATTGGTAAGTGTGTGAGACTAGTCCAATAATTGGTAGGTGTGTGAGACTAGTCCAATAATTGGTAAGGTGTGTGAGACTAGTCCAATAATTGGTAGGTGTGTGAGACTAGTCCAATAATTGGTAGGTGTGTGAGACTAGTCCAATAATTGGTAGGTGTGTGAGACTAGTCCAATAATTGGTAGGTGTGTGAGACTAGTCTAATAATTGGTAGGTGTGTGAGACTAGTCAAATTTGTAGGGGCGGGAGACTAAGTATACTGTGTAACTCTTTTCTATGTAACAATCGTGGATACATCTTATTACTGACAGTTGCCTGTTGCGAAGCTAGGGTTAGTGATGCCCGGGCTGGGCCAAATTTTTGCCGCCCCTTTAACGAGGCAACAAAACTATGCGGTTGGTCGAAAATGCCACCCCTCTATTTAAAGAGAGAAATGGCTGCCCGGGGGGTCGCCTCCACCCCCTCTTCACCTTCCTACGCCACTGCCAGTGGTTCTAGGCGTGTTTAAAAATAACGTGGCGGGAGAAAGAAATTGACAGTTACATATATTATAACGACTACGGCAATAAATGGAGCACAGTGTAAGATAACGAGGTGAAGTTTTTTAAGCTTTAGGCTGTGTCAAGGCCACAGTCGAGGTTTAGGCCTATCTTTCTTTAGTCCAAAGGTAGCTGATATTTCCCTACCCCAAGACATAAAGTCAAGCTAGCGGGATATTTCCTTTTAAGTGCATTGTGGTTAGATTCTGATGTAAGTTACACAATATTTTTCTGGATAAACCATAAGTAGGATGTATACTAAATTATAGGACTGTCAGGAGTTGGCTTCGATCAGTCATTGATACGACATGTTAGAGCTGGGGCAACATTCACTATAAAACTGTTGGTCATCGATTTTTTATATTATTATCTAATATTATCTATTTTATTTCAGCAGATTTCAATGTTCTCAGACATAATAATAATATAATTTTTTCCTACGCCTTTGGTTTGGTATGTGCGCAACAAATAAAATAAAATTGTTTTTAAAATACTTATATAGGTCTAAATAATCAGTTTAAGCGAGTTTATAATAAAATAGTCTTAATCTTCTAAAAAAAAAATTGGTGAAAAAAATAATAATAAATAAATAAACGAAACTCTCAACTCACGTCCACATTACACGCACAAAAGGGAGGCTAATACCGAAATATTTAAATGTCAATAAACTTAAGTTTTCGGGTGTCAACATTTTTTTGATCTAGTAATTTTACTTTATTATGCTAATTTTAGAGAAACAAATGTCGGTTTATTTTATTTATGGTAATTGGCATATTATAGAGTTAGTCATATATTAGATCAGGAGAATTATTTAAATAAAAATGCCACGAACAAGACGCCTGCCAAGTCAGCTTTAGTTTTGTTTATTTTATAACTTAAATGATTCATACTGTACTATTCATGATGTGAATTTTGATCCAGGCAGCCTATTCAGCTGTCAGTGCCAGCCTTTCTCTTTCTCACTTTCTTTCGTTGGAAAGGGGGCAAATCCGGGGACCGGTAATCTCGCATTTTAGCATTGTAATAAATTGTAGATTCAATACAACTGTACAAATGACTGAAACTGAAATGGCAACTAATTCTGTCAATATTTAATAACTCGTCTTCAGCCTTCACTCAAGTTTCAAGCCTTGTACTTGTTATGGTTGTCTTTGTCCTAGTTTATTTATTTATTATTATTTTTTACATTAATGACCTTATTATTTATGGGAGTTATAGCCTGAAATAAATAGGCTACTACTGGACAATAATATCACCATCTGATAATATGTTTTCCAAATAAAAAAGGAAGGGTAGTATGAGTATGAACCTGGGATCCAACCCCTGTTTTAAGTTTAAAAATCAACAACATCACTAATGAATTATTATTGTAAGCTCTATTTTTACTACATTTCAGGTCATGAAGATACTTGGAATAGAATTTGCACCCTTGTGGATCCCAAGGGACCGCAGGCTGCAAACGATTGGAGCTCTTCACTACACCTATGCTTTTCTGTTCTTTGGATTTGGGATGCTATTTGTGTTTATGTACCTTTTGATATTTACAAATTATTACTTCATCCCTCTGTGTTATCTGGCATGGTATTTTTATGACCGACCTATTAGCAGTCGTGGTGGGCGAAGGTCTAACTGGGTAAGAAGGTAATTGCAAGTATTTTTTCAGATTCCAATAATGAAATTTGTCATACCTTATAATAACAGTTTTTATAAATATTTGGAAGGAAATTTTTTTCAACTTTTGATTTTAATCCATATTATTTAAAGAATATTTTTATTAAGCAAGAAACACTGCTCTTGATTTTTTTTAAAGGATGGAGATTACATTTTTTTTATGTATCTGCTTGAACTTAAATGTCTGCCTCACAGACTCATTATAATTATTCTAAAGCTGACTTTGTGGAAATATTTCAGGGGAATAAATGGAGTGGTGGGTTTATGAAGGGGTGATATGAGATTTTTATACATTTTCTCTAGGTACATTAAATAATGAAAAATATTGTAGATTGCCATGGTCCTAGTCTGCTCTAGACTCTACAGATTGACTAGAAGTTTTAGATGGCACTAAATATCTGCGCTTGATTATTTACTTCATTTATTTACCTCTTCAAATGAATTCAAGTTTTAATGTCATGCTTTTACAAATTTTGATTTCAAAAACAAGTTTTAATTCACACGCTTCTGCTATTGATTACTGCATGTCATAAAAAAATTACTAGAAGAAGAAGGCACCACTGTTCTGTCGTTTTTAGCACCAGCACACCTGGATATTCTTTTGTACTGTATTGCTTAAAAGGTGCTAATTGGCCAAGTGGTTTAAACTGAGACAATCCCAAGCTTGTGGACTGGTAATGTACTGTCAGCAACAATCTAGACAAGCAAAAACAACACCAGCACCATGGCGGATGGGACTCTTTTAACCTTAGATGGCAACTCATCTAAGAGAAGGGAAACTCTGCTGTTAAATCCAGAGATAGAGCCTTTTAGGAGCCATGGCAATGATAATATGACAACTCCTGCGATGTGGAAAGCATGAGAGCACAATGAGAGTCAAGAAACACTGCTGGTCATCCACTGCATCCTGGTCTATTTTCAGTCGTCTTGACGAGTGAGGCTGACAAATTGAGCAACTTTCTCTCACTTTAAACAAAATGCAGCTCAAGTCAAGGTTACTACTTAAGTCCAAGCCTTGGCCATCTTTGCACATGTAGGAAAAACAATAATATTGCTTTCAATGGCATCTTTGTCTAATGGGTTTGCTTATAAGCTGGTTATATACTTTTCAGGCTTTTCCTGTTATAAACTACAGCCATCTGCTTATCAATGAACATACTTTAGAAGTAGTATGCCTGGTTGTTCTTTAAAATCTTGATTATAGACATTGCCAAGTATTCTCTTGAGTTGAATCCAAATATAAATCATCAAATTCTGGAAGTAAATATAAATAATAAATTACAAAGATTTTGTGGATTTAATCACATGATTTTTGAACCATAAAAATTACTAGCTTTTTTTCTCTCAAATGAAAGAAAATTTCCTTATTAGTTTTAATGATTGGTCGAACTGACAGTTTTCAACATTGCCTTAGTCTAGTTAATTAAAATTTGTCAAAGTGAATCAGTTGCACCCATTTATTTTAATTGAATGTGATATTCTGTTTCAGTTGGACCTTGTTCAAGTGGTCTGCAGCATACTTTCCATTAAAGTTGATTAAAACCCAAGATCTGCATCCATCAAAAAATTACATTTTGGCCTGCCACCCTCATGGAGTCATGTGCCAAAGTCATTTTGTGAACTTCGCCTCTGAAGGAACAGGATTTGGGGAACTTTTCCCAGGAATTAAGTCCTACTTAAGTGTGCTGTCGGGCCAGTTTATGTTTCCTATATTTAGAGAATACTTTTTATTGTCAGGTGAGGAACTCTAGAAATGTATGAAGTAAAGGTTTGATATATTTAGCTAAATAATAAATCTAAGTCAGGGTGAAATTTAAGCTTATAAACCATGTGCAGAAATGCCAAACCAAAATAGAAAGGGAAATCTCAAAAGATTGTTTTATTTTTATAGATTAAGTTTTGCACAATTGTTTATTAACTGGGAAATAATCAGCTGATTAAGAAATTTTTAAGTGCTGAAGACTGATGAAAACATGCAAAAATGATTGTGTTCTATTTAATGCTAATGACAACTGATTAGTTTTAAATTAGAGTTCAGTTGAAAACCATTGCAGCATGAACTTCAATTGACATGTTGGTCCACATTCCGACAACCAGTATACTTTACTACACATTGACTTAAGTCAGAAGAGCTTAGATCATTTTAAAGCAATGTGCAAATCTTAAGCTTAAGATATATGGGCGACTCAATAACAGCAGAAACATTTTCATTTATGGTTTAGTGTTAATGACGTTTTTTTAGAGTTAATTACATATTATAACGTTTGAAGAATAAAAAAAGGATAGGTACTCATAGTCATAGGACCTTACATAGATTACTATAACTGGGTGTGTGGTATGGGGGTTCGATGGGTGTTTGAAAAGAACGAGGGGAGGCGGGGGGGTGTGTCTGACAGGTGTCTGAATAAGCATAAATGAATAAAAAATGATTCCTCACTGCAATGGTAGAGACATAAATATTTTCTGTGGTAAAAGTTAAAACTCTTTGTGTAAGCTGTGTGATAATGCATAAGTTACGTTCAAAAGCTTTAGTTTGAGTTTGAGGTTTTGATGGATATCCTTTAACTCAACTGTCAGACACATTGGCAAAGAAAATTTTTAAAACCCGTAAAATCTATTCCACACCTGAGCCGTGAAGGCTTTTCCAATGCCCGGTATATATTTATAGCTTCAACTAAAAAAAATCTCCTTATCCAATCAGCCCTCCCACCTCAGAAGATGCCTAAGTTATGTGAGGACCCTTAGATCATTCTCTTGTGAGACATCCTATTTTTAATAAATGATCTATATTGTTCGATATTGCACTATTCACATCTTTGTTACTTGTTCCATAAATGCTAGGTGCCGTTGAAGTATCCAGGGACAGTATTGAATGGATACTCAAAAAGGAAGGCACAGGAAATGCCGTAGCCATAATGATTGGAGGTGCTGTTGAGGCTTTGGAGGCCCATCCTGGCAGTTTAAAGCTTAAAATAAAAGGCCGAAAAGGTTTCTGCCGGATGGCCCTAAAACATGGGTCAGTTGAACTCTTATTACAGTTATCATAATTGAAAGACTTATAAGAGTTTTTAAATTCAAAGTACCAGGACCAACAATATAATGGCCTAATTTTATCACATCATAAATGGTTAAACATTTAAAGAGTTGATTTTTTGGGAGGAATCCATTATTTATATCCTAAACATTTATTGTTTATACATTTTTTATGTGTTGCCTTTAAATTATTTACTTAATATATGATATATGACATGGCAGGAGACAGTTTAAATTTATTTGCAAATAATTTTTTGTTATATGCAAATAAACCTGGTGGGTAATATGAAGGTTTAGGATCACAAATCAGAACTACCATTACATAAAAATAATTTTTAATGTCAAAATATCTCATTCTTTAGCCTTCATGTCATCAGGGTACCTAGGTAATATAAACCACTTTCAAATAGGTGCAAAACCAGAATAGGTAGAGATAGTGAAAAAAAAAATAATTGTAAGTTAATAATTCTGAAAAAATCAAATTATGGTATCTTACCTAGAATGGGTGTAGAAAGGGATATTTTATTTTCTTCTGTAAGTGTAAGCACATATGGCTTACATATTAGTAAAGAAGTTGTGGTGTTGAGTATTTGAAATAAGATTTTAGAGTGAGTGGGCCAATTAAAATAAATAATGATGCTTCTTCTTCTATATCTTAAGGGCCCACGATCAATTTATTGATCATTTTGGCTCCTATCCATGTAGATGGGATTTGCAATGTTTCTGTTACTGGTGTTGATGAGGAAATCATGCACCAGGGGTTTGAAGGCTTGAGGCAATAGACACAAATGTGTCTAGTGTTGTCACCTAGAAAGATTGTTCCAGTCCCTGATTGTCTTGGGCAGGAATGAGCAGCTCCTATACTGGCTTCTTGCTGGTATGAGCCTGAATTGCCTGTCATGGCGTCGTCGCTGTCTGTGGGGGAGAGGGACGAGTTTCTGTTTAATACTGGAACAGTGGACCAGCCCATTATTTATCTTGTACATCATGGAGAGCCTGGATTGTCGTCGTCGTTTCTCCAATGGTGAAGCTTGATCTTTCAAAGAAACTCATTCAATTCGGTAACAAAAAAAAAGTCAGTTCAGTTCTGTTTGTAACTTTTCAGGGCAAGCCTGGTTCCTGTCTATGCCTTCGGAGAAAATGAACTGTATGAACAAATCCCCAACCCTCAAGGGTCACGTGTGAGACGGTTTCAGAATTTCTTGACCCATGCTTTGGGATTTTCCCCTGCTCTCTTCCACGGCAGAGGAATCTTCAATTACAGTTTTGGCCTTCTGCCGTTTAGAAAGCCGGTGAACACCATAGGTAAGGACGCATCCTCAGTTGTTGTTGGTAATATTTTAAACATGCCTTTAATGTCAAGGCTGTACGTTAAAATCTCAAGTTGCATTGCCTTTGTTTGGTGCAGCCTTCTATAAATTTACTTTTAGAGGATAACTTAAATAATCAGGAATATGTGTTGTTGTTTTTTTTCATTTATAAATGTGTTGTTGTAATAACTTAGGAATACCAGGTCATAAGAGTTGGCTGACGTCTCTTTCAAGTCAGTCATGACATAGAATGTTATACAAATAATATTACTATGCATTCCTTTTAGGAGGGATTGAAATGTATGTAACACTACAGTCCCAGTCCCAAACATTAATGTTATGGCTTTGTGGGTGTTTAGGTGTTGTGTCGTTTTTAAGGCTTATAATTTAAGTCATTTCATTGCCGCCTTTACAATTACATACACCAAAATAAATCATTGACTCCTTTATAATGAATTACAACAGAGTAAATCATTTATTTCTGCATGGGCTGCGATTTGCTCAGTGCTTCTTATGATTTAATTACATTGCCTTCACAACAGTTGGTGCACCTATTGATGTGGATCAAGTGGAAAATCCAACTCAGGAACAAATCGATGAACTCCACAGCAAGTACTGCACAGCATTAAATGATTTGTTCGAAACACATAAGCTAAAGTATGGCAGCCAGGAATCTGATCATTTAGAATTTCAATAAATCGAATGCGCTTGTTGAGATTGTTAAGAAAATGTGCGATGATAGATGAATGTTGGAAGTTTACCTCGTAAGATCAAAACCAAAATAATGGCGTTACGTTTTACTCCTTTTAAATGCTAATTTTGAGCTCAACTTTTTTTCGTTCCTTTTTTTAAATCATATATTTATACTATTTGATTGTAATTTAATTTATATAATTTTTAAGTAGTTCAATAGCACATAAATAAAATGTATTTTTTTATTAGCAAGTTAAACGCTATACATTTTTTAAACAGTTTACACAAATGAGGTTATGAGGTTGGTTTTGCGTATAAGGAAAAATAAACTTTCAGTTTTATATTTAGGATTATTGTAACATAACTTTCTTTTGACATTCTTAAATATTTTAAAAGTGTTTTATGTAATTAAAATTTGCTTTCAAATATAAAAAAATCTATGTATTGCATATTATGTGACATTGGCTTTAAATATACTTTTTATATACATTCTGCATCTACTTAAATTAATACTTTGTTTTCTTACTGAAAATTATGATTGCATATTATGTAATGTAAGAACATGCTTTTAAATGTGTAGTGTAAAAAAAAAATGTAATTTTTAATAGCTCAAATATTAACTGCTTAATATGTACATTACTTTTTTTACACTTGTGACATTATAATTCGTGATGAAAATAATTTTGTTATGTCAATGCTGATTCATGTTTACCAATCACACTTAATATTTCACTTTTATTGAAATGTTATTTATGATTGGCATACATTTGCAATAAAGATATACATATTTTTTTATAATGCGTTTTTTAATAAAACCTTTACTCTAATTATTGTTTTCTTAAATCGTAAGGAGGAGATATGGTTACAAGACTATATTACAGTCAGTTTAGAAATTTTACACAAAAACTTATTTTAAAATAAATTTAGGCTTTTATCTAAAATGGATTTTCCATTCAATTTTTAAAATTCTTTCTTTTTTACCCTAATTCATTAATCATTATCTGATTTTAAAAGAAAATAATTTCTCATTGTTGATTTTTGCCATTGTCATCATCAGTGGCGCTACAGCCCATTTAGGGTCCTAGCCTGCTCCATGACATCCTTCCATTCGGATGGATCCATGACTTTCTGCCTCCATCCGCAGACCCCCAGGTGATGTAAATCCTTCTCCACATAATCCAATCCATCTCAGTCTTGGTTGACCACTGAGCTTTCAGCCCCTAAGTTTCTGCCTGTAGATCTCTTTTGCTGCTCTACAATCTGGCATCCTCAAGAGGTCTGGATTTAATTGTTGTGACAATGGATGGGGTCTTCAAAAAACTGATATATTTCTTGTTTTTTATGAATACCCCATTCATCATCGTCTATCACTGGACTTTATATTTTCCCCCCCCCCCCCCTCCCTCCCCCCCCATATATTAAGCAGGTCCTCTTCTTTTTTAGTAAGGGACCAAGTCTCATTTGCATAAATTACAACTGGTCTTATGATAGTTGTTTATATGGGCTTCTATATTCTGAGAGATTTCATGCTTCCCAGTAGCTTTTGTAGGCTGAAATAAGAACAGCTGCCTGTTGTTATCCTTTTTTCATTTCTGTCATTTGTTCCATTGTGCTTATTTATAGTGGCACCTAGATATTTGAAAATGGCCACTCTCTCAAAAGTGTGGTAGCAGCGCATAGATATTTGAAAATAGCCACTCTCTCAAAAGTCCAGTAGCTTATTTTGATGTTGTCATCAGTATGTGTGTTTGGTGACATTAACAATATTAACATATGCTTTGTCTTCACTTCATTTACCGTAAACGAAGACCAGCATTAACTGGGGCATCTTCAGGGTCCTAATTATATCACTGATGCTTCTGCCCAGTAGAGCTAAGTCACCCACCTATGCCTTGTACTGCAATGGTTGGCTGCATAAAGTTCCTGATGGTTTTGGTTCTGTAATGCTTCTCTGGAAGTGGTTTGTGGTAGTTCCACTTGTGCTCACATTATGTTTCTCAACTTTTTTGAAGGTGATTTTGAACATGTGATAGTGAGTCTCCTCGTCTGAGGCCCCAATTAATCAGGAACCCCCTCAGTACTCGCGGTACTTTGAAGATACTTTTGGAGTTAACTATCTTTTTATGTAACATTATATTATATGGTTTTACAAATTAAATCTGTTTTAAGATTTGGCCTGTTAGATGAACAATACGCTAGTGATATTAATAATCTTCAATTTAATTATATTCTTGAATTTATAAAAAAAATACAAAAACCATTACAGTAGAACCCAGTTATGTCAACGGCCTCGGGGTTTACCAAAAAAGTGTCAAGATAACCGATGATCGAGATAACCGAAAACCAATGTGGCGGCAATATATAAACATGTCCTTGAGATTTCTTTATGTACCATACATGATGTGCTTTAATAAATGCAGGTACTTCAGAGAAAAAAAATAATTCTTTAAATATTACAGTTATTTAGAGCAAATTTAAAAAGCGAAACCAGAATCAACTTTTTAACTTGAGTATTTTTTGAGCTACGAATTTTTAAAGTGCGAGTTCATTTGGTATTTTCTACAATGGACAAAGCCTCCACATTTTGTGATCTCATTCTGCTTAGCGTGTCTTGTGCAATGACTAAATAGTTTATATAAGGCAACGCATCCCCTTATTACTAAAATACTATTTAGGGACTACTTATTTTGAACTTGCAACTTTGGCACATGACTATTTAATGAAAGCCTTCCCTGACTAATGGCTTAATAGTTTTTGCACACGGGAAACTCTTATGAATGAAACTCTGACGTAGTACCACGGCATAGCCATTCCAAAGCCTGGGATTGGTCATGGGGATCAAGATAACCCAGGTTAAGTGACAAATTTTGCCGCCTTTTGTGCTCGAGATATCAGGGTTTGGCGACATAAAAGAATCGACATAACAGGGGAGAAAATGCTAAGACAAAGAGAGAATGCGGCGGTTCCACTTCAAAATTGTCGACATAACAGGGTTGGTGAGTTAACCAAGGTCAAGATGAGCGGGTTTGACTGTACACGTAATTAAAATCTATATTAACTTTTAACACAGCAAGGGAAAAAGTATAAGCCTTGAATGATATTAATACACACACACAAAGAGTAAAATCTTGTAAGGCTCCTATGAGTATACTAAGACTTGTAAATGTCTAGAAAATCTAGCAAAAATCTCTTTTGGCTGGGAAAGCTGTCGGCTTATTACAAGCAGGGAGTTAGAACCCTCTAGAAAAGAAATTATAGAAATTGCATCACCCAATAGCATTCTTTAAAACAAAATGGAATGTAAACAACCTTTTCCCAATCAAGGGAGGGATGGTTAATGGTAGAATGCTATACATTTAATCGGTGACATCAAAGCGAATTGGGGGAAATAAATGGTGGACACTTTAGCTCCATGATGAAACAAAATTAGGTCAACACACAGGCTTAAACACCATCATCATATGTATAAGCCTGGTAATTTTTTTGGGGACTTCACGTACCTGTAGTGCACCACACAGATATTTCCTGTCTACACTTAATAAGCGGTTTTGTAGACCACGTGTATGGGGATGTTGTATTTCTCCAGGAGATTTCTGATAGTAAATATATTATCTGTGGTAATCTATTTCGGAATCAATCATGATAGTCCCTAGTATCTGTTAAATATAACTTTCTGATTTTCCTGCTATTAATTTAGTGAGGATTTTGTAAGTTAAATTAAGTATGTAGATTCCTCTATAATTTGAGCAATCTTGCTTAGATCTTTTCTTGTGAATTTGTATTATGAGGGCAGTATCCCATTCTTTAGGCATTGCTTCCTCCTGTTAGTTCACAGACTTTGGTCATCCACCTGACTAACCTATATTGCCATTCGATATTGGCATAAACTTCATAAGATTATCAGATTTTATCTTAATTTTTATTATCAGTTAAAAGGCCTATTAATTATGTATGTAGTCTAGCGATTTCTAAGTGAATTCTAAAAAAAAAAAAAAACTAAAAAAAAACAACTGGATGTTTAAGGCTTTGAGTCTCTTCCTCTTTTCACAAAAGAACACACCACTACCAATACATTTAACTTTTTATTTTATTTTACCCCAAAATTTAATTTGATGCCACAAGGAAAAATTTAAAAATATAAATGACTAAAGTGAGTTTGGAAAAGTTTCATTTTCATGCTTCAAATTTTGACATACTACATACACTTATTATAATTAAGACTTTGGGATGCTCGTAAAACACGTATTAAAATTTATTTAACTTACAAAATCATTGTTATGAAGCATATCCCTAATTATGCTAAAATTAAAACTTGAGGCTTTCATCAAAATAAAATAATTCTATTCAGGATAATTATTATTATTTTTTTTTTTTGCTACTGAAATATTTCGTAAGAACTTACAGTGCCAATAGATATTTGGGCTCTTTTGTTTTTAAAGTTAAAAGGTTTAAGTTGGCAACTAAATAAACAACATGGCGTATACAAAGTAAATTCAAATCAATCAGGCTATCAACTTTACTGAAAAATTGTAATAAGTAATAAATATCCCAGCTTAGGTTATAAATTAAAATGTATTATTCAGTATATTGATAGTTATATTATTACTAATTATGGATGACTTATTAAATCCCTAGGCTACTAAAGCTAAATACTTAGTTGTCTTAATACTACTATTGACTACTATACAATGACTCCAGGCTATGACTATCACTATTGACAATTGACTATTATTAATATCACTATCAGACTATAAACTATCAAAGTGAGCATTTTAAATTTTATTTTATAATTTATAGATTAAGATAGGGACTAAAATTGGATTCAGAGGTGCTTGAATTTGAGTAATACTAATACTTAGTCTTAGTACTTGCTTCATTCAAGGCAAGGTCTACTCCGACTAATCTGACTTTAATCTTATTATCTGAAGTCACACTGAAGTAGCCTAGTTGGCCAATAATTATTTATAATTATAATTGTTAATATTAATATAGTATAGTATGGGCTAATATAGGCCTAGCTCTAACTCTAACCCTATTCCTATAACAATATTGACAATATTGAATATGGACAATATTGATGAAATAAGTAGGCATACTGTTAGTTTGTTAGTAATAGGCCTAGCCTATAATATATAGCCCCATAATATGAAAAAAAAATTAAAGTTAAATTTATTTATTAGGCCTATATTATAATCGAAGTGTCTACACGTCCGGCGCGCCGGACAAATAGTGTGAGAGATATACGTCCGGCGAGCATGTCACGTGACCGCGGGACGACTAGTAGGTGTTATTATTCCAAAGGAAGTATCTACTACGAAGATCTTGTGTGGTCATGTGGTATTGTGGCCGCTTGACGATATTATATTTGTGGATCGATTCCCCGCATAGGAACCCTTTTTTTCCCCCATTTTAATTAAAAATATTTTATATTATATTTATATTGTCATGTTCATCAGCAACAGTATTTTTATGAGAAGTTTTACAAAATTTCAGCAATTTAAACAATTTAAAATGTTTACTTTACAATTTAAAATATTTACTTTTATTGGTTGCCTACTCCATACTGCATACTGGCCCCTAATTATATTATGGGTTGCTGGTACACAAACTCAAATAACAAACTAAACAAAAATGTTTACAAGCCACTTTCACTTCGGTTTTTTCTATCATTTGCATGCAAGGTGTACATTACTTGGTAGAGAAATAGATTTTAAAATTAACAATAGTTTTGAATCATTCCCGGTCACGTGACAAGGCTGATGGACAAAATATCTCTCGCCACTTTGTTACGGCGGTCATGTGACTTGGTCGCCGGACAAATAGTGCGGGAGATATACATCCGGCGCGCCGGACGTATAGACACTGCCTACTATAATACATAAATTTAGCTTAAATTTTTTTTTTATGTAAGAATATGGTAACAGATTTTCTGCAACCCTTCTCCTTCCCACATAAATTTGAATAAAGTCCAAAAATAGTTGAAACAAGCAAATTTGAAATCACCTTTAAATGGTAGATTCTGGCAGATTGCCAATGCTAATTTAATTTAGGCTAACTGTTACTGGTGCTTTTGAAAGAATATTGAATTGTAATTTTTAAAAAAATAGGCATGCATTCTAAATATTCCTTTTTATTTTGGGTTCAGTAAAATACAATTTCAAGAAGTCAATTTTTTTCTTTTAGATCTAAAAATGCCAAAGGGTAAGAAAAGGAGTAAAGGTAAAGGCAAAGGTAAAGCAAAAGGAAAAGGCACAAGGGGCAAAGGCAAAAATCGAGGGAAGAAGGCAGTTTTAGTTGGAGCAGATGGAGATACCAAAAAGCTATTTAAAGCTTATGACAGAAATTGTGCTCTGATGAACTCTCAGATGTCTCCTGGATTGAAGAAACTTTTAAGAGCTGCTGCTGAGGAAAACAGAATTGTAACAAAGGTAGCATAAATAAAATATCCCATACATCATACCTGCTTTTGGAATATGACTTTTTTTTGTACAATAAGAAAATTATAAATTCATTAAGTTGTATAATTAAAAGGTTGTTGCCTAATAAATAGTTTTATTTTTTTAACACAAAAATATCAAATCCTGATGAAACCGTCTAGGATAATTTCCCCTCCCTCACTCCACCTCACCTCTCCCCCCCCCCCCTTTTTAAAAAAAATCTCCTACAGTAACAAAAATCAAAATATCTTCAAATTTATTATTATTTTTTATAAATCTGCCCTTAATATTAATTATTCATAAATATTTTTATTTTTTTAACACAAAAATAACAAATCCCGATGAAACCCTCTAGGATAATTTCCCCTCCCTCCCCCCCCCCCCCCTCCCCCCCCCCCCCCCTTTTTAAAAAAAATCTCCTACAGTAACAAAAATCAAAATATCTTCAAATTTATTATTATTTTTTATAAATCTGCCCTTAATATTAATTATTCAATCTTGTATGATTTATAGCATTTTAACAAATCAAAAGCAATATAATTTTAAAAAAATAATTTTACAAGATTAATTGAAATTCGTTTTCTCTTTTCATGTTTACAGTTGATTTTAGAGTCAGTGCCTGTGGAGAAAGAGGGGGATTTACCTGTGTTATTTGAACCATTGATGGCATCCCTGCGACAAGAACGGTACAAACATGTCAAGGACATACATGTTTGGGATTACCCATTGTCATATGAGGATGTTGCTTCTTTGGTATTAATTTGATTTCCATTTGAAATTTTTTTTTGAACTGCAAAATAATGTGCACTTTATCAAATTAACAAAAAAAAAATTGGTCACTCATTAAAATTGGATTACACATTTTACTATGATTCTTTCAGCCTTCATTGGAAGAGGAATGCTTTGACTAGAAATAAAACAGAAACAGCATTATTGATAATGTTATTAAATTGACAGACATCCAGTTGTTTTTGTTTTAAGTTAAGATTGTTGTCAATTTAACATAGGCATAGTGTAAACAATTGCAAATTTTCGGAGGCAGCCTTGTGACAAAATGTTGATCATGAGGTCCATATTGTCTTTTGACTTTATTATGGGATAAAGTGGAGGCTGTCTCAAAGTTTTCCAGACTTAATAATGAAATAGTGGAAGTTGGGTTAACATTTTTCTGATTGCTGTTTTAAAAATTGTGCATTTATTTTTTATATATATATATATATGTATTTTTTTAAATTTTTTTTTTTGAAACCAACAAAAAATTTGAATACAAAAAATGAAAAGTTATTTATATGAACAATTATGACATTTTTGTAAATATTTCAATTTTATATTATTAATAATGAATTTAAATTTTACAATTGAAATATAGGCCTACTGGTGAAATATAAATTGCAATATGGAAGCATGATCATATTGAGTGCCTTGCACAGAAATGTCACAATATCGCTTCGTTAAGCCTTAAACCGATAAGAAGATAATTTTGATATCCTTACACATCAGGCACTTTTTCTTGAGAAGTCTGTCTACCCAGTTCGGCTCCTGGAGTTGTTAGACTGTTTGCTGGATGCCCAAACCATTCCACGTTTAGCAAAAACGTTTTATGGCTGTGAACGTCTCACCACTCTAGTTTTAGACTACAATGAGTAAGTTCTCAATTGCAATAAATTATAATTTTAAACTTTTTGCTTAGATACCTATAAACCAGATACATGTGTCTTGAGAGAGAAGGCACCAACTTAAACTTTGCATCTCTTACAAGAAAACCATCTCAAATGACTCAATCACATTTTTGTATGATTCTTGGTTACCAGGAAGAGACCACTCTTTAAAACAATCTGCTCATAGATGTTATTGAAGGTTTTCAATGATTTTATCAATTTGTTCAACTGACAATGTATCTTTCATCCACAGAAGAGGGAGTCTTGTCTAAAGACACTCTTCCTCAAATCACTTCCAAAATAAATGGCTAAAAATTTTATATTTTCTTTCAGATTTGGCGATGAAGGTTGCAAAATTCTCTGCAATGGTTTAGAGAATAATGTCTCCCTGCTCTCCTTAAGCTTGTGCTACTGTAATTTGGGGATTCCAAGTGGCTCGTGCCTTGGCCATATTATATCAACTACAGCTGTTAGGTAACTTATAACACGTACATGTAAACTGAAAGAAAAAACAAAAGATGATTACAAGATAGTTTCAATTTTCAAAGTTTATTTTAAATTGATTATGGACTTCTCATATTTTTTTAGAAATTTTATCTCAATTTTTATCTTATTCCCACAAACAATAATTTATCAAATTATAAAAGTGGTTTACAACCTGTAATGGATGCAACCTGATTAAAAAAATTTATCTTTTTGAGAACCCAAATAAATGATGCAGAGGGTTAAACACTCATGACACCAAATTTGGGCATCACTGTTGTAAAATTTCTAAAAACTTGATCAAATCCAAAAAGATGTCTGACTATTATATTAAGCATGGTTTTTATGCTATCACCTTAATAACTTGTAAAGTGCCTTCAAACTAAAACTTTGGTTAAGCCATCTTGATTGGAGATGCTGGGCTATGAGATGGGGATGTGGGGTCAGGAGAATGGTTTTGGAGTTTATCTAATTAAAAAATGGTAGTTGATGAATTCTGTCCAGTGTAATGAAACATGACATCTATACTAACCAGAGAGCTCTTTCTTGATGGAAATGAACTTGAGTGTGAAGGGACTATTGAACTAATCAAACTGTGCGTGGATCAGGCGGACATCGAAGCTTATGAGAGAGAGGAGGAGGCAAAGAAAAAGGAAGAAGAGAAAGCCCTGCTAGGTATTGGAAGATTTTCAATTTTTCATCAGTATCTCATAAGGTTCTTTAGGGCAGCATTAGTTTATGGTTTCACCATCATCAAGTAAAGAAATATGATTGTGGTCACTATCTGTAGCCAATACCAAAAAAGGGTTGTATCTTATTATGTTCCATTGTACTGTTAACTAAAATGTTTCATTTTCCTTGTGATAATTACCTTCACACTAAATAAATGTTGATGTAATGTCTTAAAATTTTTCAGTGGCTAAAGGAATAGATTATTTAAGCCATCTAAATCAGGGGAATCTAATTATAATGTGCATTTATATGCATTTAAACTTAAAAAAAAAATATGAGTAAAGTCAGTTAACATAATTGTGGTTACGAAAGAGAACTTAGAGAACTTAGTGGTGAAATGGTCGTTTCATGTTCCAGAAAAGGTGAGAAAGTCCAGTTCCACAAGTGGCATAGAGACGGCAGTAAGTGGTAGTGACATGGATCAGACTGATGCAATATCTCTAACAGGAGGTGGCAAAAAGAAGAACAAGAAAGGTGGGGATACAAAGGGTTTTTTTAAATGTGGAAGATCATTTCATGTTTAGTTTTTTTTCCAAGGGAAAATTAGTCACCATAATTAGAATACTTTTGCTTTCAGTTCTTAATTATGACTGATGTTGAAATTAAAATGAAGTACTTTCATTAATCAATATTGTGTTTCCAAATCTTTTTTTACCGCTGTACTGGCAGACACCTGGCCTAAAATTGATATTAAAAACTTAATTCACAAGCCATTTTGTTTATGATTCAGTTTTAATTTTTACAATTAAGTTTTTGCAGCAATATTACACATTATGTGGCATGAAACATGACAACGTATCTCACTAAAATTGGTATAAGACAATTTATGCACTGAGCCTTATTAAATTCTTGGTTTACCCCCAGGAAAAGGGAAGAGAAAAAAGAAGAAGAAGGCACCACCAAGTCCACCTCCTGTAGGACCATGGCTACATAAACTTCATCTCGCTGATAATGGCATCGATGGGTACAGTAAAGGTGGTACATTTGCTCCAGTTATTTGCATGAGGCTATTTAAAAAGTGAGTACCAGTATTGCCATTGCTTTAAAATAACTGTGCCACGGAAGGTTATCCTAATTGTTAAAATTTCATTCTTAAAAAAATTAGTTCAAAATAATATCCTTAGTGTAACACTGGGACATGTCATTCTATTGCATTTGCTTCTAGACTAATGTAAAAATAGATTCGAATTTTTGCTTTACTGTGACACAAGCTTTTTAAATAAGGAGCAGATTTGATCTATATTATTTGCGTATAAAATATAACAAGCCAAAATTAGATTTTCTTTGTAATTTATTTAGGTTGATATTGTTTTAAGTACGGAATTAAATTTATTAAAATAGAATGTATTTGTCAAACACTATACAGCTGATATGTGGTTATTTTAATTCATTCTTGATTATTATTTTTTGTTTCCTCCACTTTTTTAAATGAAGACTTTTAATGAACTCCAAGTGTCTGGTGGAGCTGGATGTAGAAGACAATTGTATTGGGGAACTTGGTGGAAGAGAAGTGTTAGAAGGTCTGACACGTCGTAAAGAAGGTAAACCCTCCGACTGAAAGTTTAATTTACTCTGTAAAAAAAAGTCAATCCGATATTTTCCAGAATTTATTTAAATTTGAATTTATGTAATCGTGAACTTTTGGCACAATTGGACTGAAATAATTAATTAATTTTTACAGTGGCACCAATGCTAGTTAGTAGCTGGTGACTTTTAGGCTTAAGTAACCTGTGTGGCTGTTAGGCTTAAGTAACCTGGTGTGATTTTAGGCTTAAGTAACCTTTGTGGCGGTTAGGACTCCCCTCTCTAAGACCGTCGCCCTTGTAATATTTTAATGAAACAGTTTCACATCTTTATAAAATTAGCCAAGCTTGGCGGGTGTAAAGCCAGGACAACTCACAAAATGACACCTGACACCTTCAAGGCCATTGTCAAACTGGGAGCAGGTCTCAAAAAGAAGGGAAAGAGGAGAGGAAAAAAAGGAAAGAAAGGAAAGAAGGGCAAAAAGGTGAATAATTATTTTTAATTGGTCTATTGGCCATCCATAAATGACATCACGCATCTAGGGGGAGTGGGACCATGAATTTGTGATGGGAGTGTTAATTATTTTTTTTTAAATTTTAGACATTGAAAGAGGGGTAAAAGAATTTGAATAAAATTGTGTCAGGGTATTTATTGATGGCGCCATTTAGTCAACAGAAACTGTATTTAGTTGTTCCTCAAAAGTATTCTTAAAATTAATAACTCAAAAAAATTCTTTTTTTTAAAAAATAGACGCACTTAGTATTACATTCATCTAAAATATTTCTCTTGTAACACTTAGTATGATATTCATTTAAAATATTTATCTTGTATTTAATTTATGGGTTGTGTTAAATTGCTTGTTTCCACAGAAGAAGAAATAATGGGCCCCTAACACAGTAATGACTGTTAGCAATCAGAGATATCAGCAGCAACTGCAGAAACTTTATCAAACTCCGCCCACACTAGAAATTTTAGCTTGTCATTTTTAATACTATTAAGACTATTACATAAAGCTTACAAGATAAGCAACTTTATGAGGTTCTGGGTCTCATCTTAAAGCACCACTGGATTGGCCAGTATTGATAACTTAATAAACAAGTCACAACATGAAAGATACAGTAAGCCAATGGATTGACAAAATTCTTTGGTGAAATTATTATAAACTTATATATTTTGGAAGCATTAAATTTTTGCCTGAATATGGATTGATTTTGAGTATTGAAATGGCTCAGGGTACCTTTTATTTTAACTTTTCACATGCATGTAACAATATTTTATTTGAAGAGGAATTTTTATAAAAACAATCAATTTTAACTTTATTGTATGAGCGATGTATGTTCACCATCTGTGATAAGCTTTTACATTTTTGTTTAAAATGTTATACCTAACTCATAAGAGCAATGGTGAATGTGTAATGCAATATAATAATTCATTTGAAAGAAAAAAGCATCTGTGATAAACTGATTAAATGGTCACAAATACTGTAATATCTATATTTAAGAGGACTGTTTAATCAAAGATGATTTAAGATGTAATTTCCAGGGTTTACAGTATAAGTCATTTTATTATAAAATACTTGAAACGGAGCCTGTCTCATCAAATATGCAGACATAATTACATGGAATATTTTTTATTGGATGTATAAGCTCGGAATGATGTAATGGGTTAGAAATAGGTGAAAGAATGTATTTAAGTTGCAAAGGAACAATTTATGTTTTTGTAAGTTAACTACAAAAAAAAACAATTCATGTTTGCTATTTTCTGTTCCTGATTGTGATAACTTTTTTCAATACTTGAAAAACAATTATTTTTTTTTAAAGTACAAAAGCAGCTGTTTAAATGTTTTGAAATATAGATCTATTTGTAAAGGCTTGAGATGTTGTAAAATAAAATTTGATCAAGTTTCAGTAATGTTCAAATTAATAAATTATTTCTTGGCAAAAATATGATGCATCTTATTATTTTATTTTCTATGTTTTGAATAAAGTTTTTTTCAACTGTGACATATGTCCACATTAATTAGTCTCATTATCTTTAAATAATTTACTGTGAAATATGGCCAAATTAATTAGTCTCATTATCTTTGAATAATTTTGATTAAATAACCATACACCGAACTTTGCTTTACTATTTTAATCTAATCCGCTGACCTATCCAGAGAAAAATATCAGTGCAAACACATGCTGACATATGGACTGCATTTACTTTGTATGTAACATAGAATTACACTCAGGACATTAAAGGACAATTCAGCCAGTAAATATAGAAACAAATTCTGTCATGTTTTTAGACTTGTGGTGTTTACAGATTTATTCATTATTATTAAATTTGTACATAAATTTACACACTAGAAGTAAATAAATTAATTGACCTTTAATTTAGTATAATAATACACACACAAAAAGGTATCAATAACTAACAACTGATTCAGAAAGTAATGCAACCTTCTGTGAATTTAACAATCTTGTACAGAAATAGCAATGAAAAGTAACATATGGTGAATCTCAAATATCTGTAGCTTAATTTCCCTGCTCAATTTTTTCCTCCCTTCAGTGATTTATTAAACATCTTCAAGAAATTCTAAAAAACAGATATCCCAATTAATTTTTTTTGCCACATTAAAAGAGTTTTTTTTTTTTTAAATCTCATCTAAATTTATCACTATGCAGTTTGTATAGTAATTTTCCCGATTAAAACATCTCGTTTTGACAAAATTGAAATAAAGTTTTGTGGTTTTTGATTCTCATAGACTACGTTGCTGCAACCAAGTACTGGCGTATGATAGCAAATTTTGAGTTGAAATAACAAATTGCAACAAGCTAAAGGCTATTAGTGTGTTAAATGATAAAATTTTGCTATTTTATGAGCTACCAAAGAAATGTTCTCCACTGGCAAACTGTGAGCCTGCATGTGGAATATTCTAGAATTATTGCTGATCTAAATAAACAGAGCTCCTTAAGCACTGGAGCATTTCAACATTAGCCTATCAAAGTTAAACTTTGGCTGACAGGTTTGTAAAATCTTTCACAAAAAAAAAGGCTAAACCAATCACACAACGGTAGTGGTTTCTGATGTGATCAAAACAGATGAAGAATAATATTTATACACAGCCATTGAAGTGGCCCCACTCACTGGCCATACAAAAAACTTCTCAAGGATTCTGGGCTTAACTTTTTGAAATTTTCCAGGCATTCTGGGGTACAGGCTTCAAACATTATAGGTATATTCTTCACAGAAAAAAGTTTTGAAACTGGGCATATGGTTCTCAAACCAGGCCCAAAAAGTGGACCCCTGCAGCAATCACATTGTTGGACTCTGAAGACAACAAAAAAAAAATTAAAAGAAATTATTATTTTTCCTTCTAAATTTCTTTTAATGCAGATAAAACTATTTAATATTAGTATGGTTAGAAAGCAAAGTACTCAGAGTTCAGGATTCAATTTTGCTTTGGCAAACATTCAAAGGACTTTTAGCATCACCCAACTTGGCTTTTACCTTATGCTTTTGACAATAAATTAGAAGGGAGTGAGGTTTAAATCCCATTTTGGATAATTTAGATATTATAGCCTAAATCTAAAATGTATTTTCTGTGAAAGAAATTTAACTTAGAACTCCATATCTTTTTGTCAACTTGGCTACAGATTCAAATCCCCCCCCCCCCACTTTTTTTAAAACCCATCTATAAATTCAACTCCAAACCCCTCCCTTGCCCTTCTCAGTAAAATGTATTTTTTGTTAAAAAAATTTAACTTAAAACCCCAAATCTTTTTTTCAACTTGGCTCCAAATTCAAATCCCCCCCCCCCCCCACTTTTTTTAAAACCCATCTATAAATTCAACTCCAAACCCCACCCTTGCCCTTCTCAGCCAGTGATGTTAGAGGAAATTTTTTACACATGAGATTAGGTTACTATGAATTGGTCATTCTGATGTTAAAATGTTTAGTATTAATTAAAGATTGATACAGTCGTGGGTGCTGTGGAGTATTTAATGGCTCAAGTGGTAATAAGGAGGGTTTTCTTTTCAAGTTAGCTAATCCAATTTGAAGGCATTCTGTTTTAAAATTTAATTTACAACTCCTGAAATGTATCTGAAAGATGTAAAAACAAAAAGAAAAAAAAAAATCCACTTGCCATTAAGGCTTGACCCATTTTAACAACTAACCTGCTAAATGCCGTGGACAAGTCTCCAGGAAGCGATTCAAGAGTCTCATGGCTGACTGATCTATACACGTGCACACATGCCAAGTCCAGCAGGCTCTGGGGTCATCAAATACAGGGTAACATTTTTATGTTATAACACACATGATCTATAATTTCACAGTTAAATTACATAAGTCAAACATAAAGAGAAATTTTAATGTATTTTATCATTGGTACAGGCATGGGCATTTTGCTATTTTGTAATTATTGCTCAATAATACATAATAAACTATGTCCAATATTAGTTTAACATAAAATCAATATAATAAAGTTTTTAAAAAAAAAAGTTAGCAAAAAAATTCAAAGTTAAACTTTGGCTGACAGGTTTGTAAAACCTTTCACAAAAAAAAGGCTAAACATTCACTATAGAAATGAGTGAGGAAGGCTTCTTGCTGACCCTTTTTTTTTTCAGGTTCTCCCATACTTCGTTTCGCTCATTTCCATTTTTCTAACCTGAAAGCACTATTTCCCCCTTTTTGCCATAAAAATTCACTAGCTTGTGAAACTATCAATTTCAGAAAACTTGTGCCTACAGATCTGTGAAACTATCAATATCAGAAACCTTTGCCTACAGATTAGCAAAACTATCAATCTCAGAAAACTTTTGCCTACAGATTGGTGAAACTATCAATATCAGAAAACCTTTGCCTACAGATTTGCGAAACTATCAATATTATAAAACTTTTTCCTAAACACTTGTGAAACTTTACAGAGCTAAGTACTTGCCAAGATAATTTGAATAGATTTCATAAAGGACACATTTTGCACCTGTGGTTTGTTTTTGGTGTTCTCCTTCCAGAAAAGTGGATGCATGAAGTTATTCCTGACGTTGACATGGCTGAGGTTGAGCATGGTGAGACAGCTGGCAGGAAGAGCAGGGATTTGGTTGCCTTCAATGTCAAGGACTTTCAGCGACCTGACAGTGCATTAAATCAATATTACTGTGGGAAGGTTTCTCTACACTTAAGATTAATTAGACTTTAACATTTTGTGTCAATAAAACAATATATGTTAAGCTTTAATAATAATAATTTTACAAAATGCACAAGTTGACGTTTCGGCACATGCCTTCAGCAGTACAACAACAAAACATTTAAATAAGTTTAAATTAAATTTACATAATATATATATACATATATCCTACTAAAAAAAAGAAAAAAAATAGAAGTGAATGCAAAAACCAGACAAAAACAAAGTAAAGAAGAATGGAAAGGGAGCGATTGAAGTAAAATGTAAAAAAAAAACGGAAAAAGACATGGCAGTTACGTAAAATTGTGGATTTGGTTTATCCCGTATGGAGTCAAATCTTGTTATTTATTTATTCTCCATTTAGATCCTATCCAGTCTCTTACTAGTATAGTAAAATTATTATTAAAGTTTTAAAGCTTAACATAATATATTGTTATATTGGCACCAATTGTTTGTTCGTGTCTAATTAATCTATTTTAAAAGTTTATGGCAGTCCAACACTTTTATAATTAGCTAATCTACACTTGAGCAACTGTTAGTCCTGTCAGTGTGTCAAAATATAATTGATCTTTTGAGAGAAAGCTTTCAGATAATTAGGAAAAATAATTACAATTTCAGTAAGTATCGTTTGTAGGCCCTGCCACAATTTCAACAATTATCGTTTGTAGGCTCTGCCATCCCAAACCACCACAAACATTCTCCAGATAAATAGCTGACATTTTTTCTGTTTCCAGTGTCCATGAAATTTAATGGTGAATGTTTCACTAAATTCATTTCATAGACCTATTATCATAAAAATCATTGATGTAAATATCTATTACTCCTATGATAATCAAATGGCTAAGGCACAATGAGTGGTAAGGCAAAAGAGAGAAAACAGCTGCTGATGTTAAGTAAACAGGTGACTCCGATACTTACTGTAAAAATGACATTTCTCTAGGTAAAAATGTCAGTTTATTATATCCAAGACTCAAGTCTTCCAGGCTCGGCATATCAAACAGTCTAGAAATAAATATGAAATGAAAAAAGTCAATAGTTAGGATAAAAGAAATGACTTGTGCATCTAGGATTTAGCTTTCAAAAGGAACAGTTGAGGCGACAACACTAGACACATTTGTGTCTATTGCCTCAAGCCTTCAAACCCCTAGTGCATAATTTCCTCTTCACCACCAGTAAGAGAAACATTGCAAATCCCATCTACATGCATAGGAGCCAAAATGATCAATAAATTGATCGTGGGCCCTTAAGATATAGAAGAAGAAGCTAACACTGGAAATGATCTATGTCCCCATTGTAGTTGGACACAAAAAGAAGTCACCCGGAGTGCGCTCTCTTGAAGCAATAGCCCCTAAATTATGGAACAGTTTGCCTGAGACTTTGGGGAAGTTTAAAAATGATGAAATAATCCTTCGAGAGACATTTAAAGACATATTTCTTTAAAGAGAGTTTACGACATCAAAGCGCTTTGATGTATGCTAGAATGGCAGGGACACAAACACTTTAACAAGTAATCAATCATCATCATCAATCAGTATGACACGGAGATTTGACCAAGTGTTAAATGTACGGGAGACAACTTATTCTAGACAATGTTCTAATCCTCTGACAATAAATTTTACCACAAATCAAACTATGTACGATGAAAATGTTTACCGTTTGTAGGCTCTGCAAACTAATAATAATCTTCTTTTGAAAAAGGAAACATATTTATAAGTTGCATTTTAAAAAAATGCACGTAAATTA